GCCAGAGCCAGGCCTGGGCCCCCTCTTACCTCAACCACTCCGAGCGGGGCAGGGTGGGCTTCCCCAGGCTGTGTGGTTGGCTCTGTCAGGGACAGGGGTGCTGACGGCGTGGGGCTCTTGCGAACCTCCTCTTGCTTCTTCTCCCAGTAGTTGCGGTTCAGGTACCGAGCCAGCTGCCAGGATGAGAACGGAGATGAGCACTGCTGCCTCGTAGGAGCAGTGTGCCACAGACTGGCAGGGACAGTATCCTTACCTCTGGGTCAATGTCCTCAGCCAAGGGAGCAGAGGAATTCTGGAAAGGTACAAACAGGAAAATGCAGTTCAGAGAAAGCAGAGACCCCCAGCTCCCACACAGGTGTCCTGGCTTAGATCTGGCCATGCATGACCACCAGTGCTGAGCATCCAGGAGAGCCTCAAAGGGGATACAATGCTGCAGCTCCAGGAAGCAGCAGAGGCACCTAAATGCCAGCTGAGAACAGATCTTCTTGCTCAAAGCACAGTGAAGGAGCAAGGGGCTAAACGGGCCAAATATTTTCCCTCAGAACAGGGATTAAATTGGACACAAGCAGGACAGACTGGAGCTCAGGAAGTGGCCTGTGCCTGGTCACTCCATGCCAGGGGCTCCCACAGACATACCACAGGTGGGGAGTAGAGTGTGCTGACCGGGGGAGCCGATGATGTGACAGGTGTCGGCTCAGCCTTCGGGTACATGGAGTAGGTTGTTTTCTGCCTCTGCCAAAGAGAAAACTGTCAACTCAGGGACTGTCCAGGGCTCCTCCAGAACAACTGCAACACAGCCTGTGCCTGGCTCCACTTTCACCCTCTCATTCCACAGGCCCTGCACCTTGCTTACACCAGGACATGCCCAGAGATCTGCTATGGCCCAGCACACCTGGACTGAAGAGCAACAACCCCTCCCAGATTCCAGCAGGACACGAACCATTCTCTCCTTCTCCTCGGCCTCTGACTGAGACAAGGCAATAGCCAGCTGGAGCTCCTCCTCCTCTTGCAGAGCTGTCTCATCACGCTTTGGAGGCAGCTGGAAGTGGAAGGATGAGGAGGTGGTCAGTAATGGGATCAACAAGCAGGTCAGGATCACCAGAACCCCTATGGGGCAGCTGCTCACCTGGGACTGCTGAGAGAGGGGGCTGGTCAGGTACTCAGGGGGCAGCTCAGAGGTGGCAGCAGCTTTACCCTCAGCTTTCCTGTAGTGAGAGGTGACAGTGCAGACTGAACTCTCCCTTCTCCACCCCAGAGCCCCAGCTCTGCACAATGCTCCAGCAGCAAACCCTGCTCCTGGGAAGGAAGGGGGCCCAGCCCAGCCCTCACCCAGCTCTGCAGGGAGCTGGCTCCACACCACATTTCCCTCAGTCCCAGCTGTCACAGGCAAAGAAACCCACCACGAAGGGTACTTACTTGTTAAGGTGCTCGTAGCAGGGCTCACAGACTCTCACTTCCTTCTCAATCCCGAACTTGGGGATGGTGGAATACTTGGAGGAGCATTTTCCACAGAAGATCTGCCCACAGGCCCGGCAGTGATGCTGTGAAGGACAGGAGACATCAATGTGGTGGCAAGACACCTCCTTCAGACAAAATCACTCAGACACTTCCAGCATTTCTGTGCCAGTGCCCAGGGAACACGGTCTGGCCTCAACACACTTCCACACAGGGAGTCCTGCAGGAAGTTCTGCCAGTCCCAGGCACTGTGCAGGGCCAGGGAACCCAGAGGGGCAAGAGCAACACCCACCTTTCGTGTCACAACGCCAAACTGCACTCGGCACCTGTGACACTCCTCAGCATCCACCCAGTCTGGAGCCTGTCAGGGTCAAAGGACATCACGTAAGGAGGGAGGAGAGCCTCGAGGAGAGCATCTGCACTGGGCCTTTCAGGAGCTCTGACCGCTAACAGGGCTATTGTGCATGTGGGAGACTGGAGGCATTTGCAGCTCAACAGAAAATGTTAATCCTCCAAGTTATCCCCTCTCATGTTCCTAGGGACTGTAACACTTCCCAAGTCACCACGAGATTCTCTAGGACTGCGTCTGCACAGTGAGGGCTTCAGCAATGCCCTGCTGGCTCACTAAGCCTGCCCCGCTGCTGCAAGGCCACCGAGCAGGAGGTGTGATGGGACTGACACCACATCCTGGTCAGTTCTCCCAGCAAGGTCTCCAATCTGCAGGAAATGGAGGATCACAGGACCTGCAGGTTTGACAGGAAGGGGACAGGAGAGCAGGTCTGTCCTGCAGTGCTCCCACCACAGAGCTCACCCTCTCAGCAGCAAACATGGCATCGCTCTCCTTGAACTCCGGGAAGACATGACCTGTGAGAGAAGGACAGAGTCCTTTTGTGAGAGGAATCCTGTGGCACAGGGAGGCTGTGGTGCCTGCAGCTTCATGCTGTAGGTGTCAGGACAAATGTCAGATCCAGCACAGCACCACCTCTGCCCTGACCAGTATCTCACTCCGACACACCAGCAGCAGCCTCCCCTCAGCCAAGCTCCCAGAACAATCCCTGATTGTTTCCCTTACGCACACACAAGGGACATCAGGGACCTCTGGATAAGACTTGTTATTTCTCAAGACCCTGAACTGAGCATGGGGGGACAAAAAGCCCACTGTGTGGGCAGGCAGGGCTGTGAGTCTCAGCCCTTGAATGGCCAAAGTGTGGCAACACCAGCTTGTGTGGGGGGATGAGTCCTCCAAGCTCTCTGAGCTGCTAGCTAGGCTGGAGGCCCAGAGCAAGGTAGCCCTGATCCTAGGACCACAGGGCAGTAGGATTCAGTCACCCCAAGAGGTTTGTTGGGTATTAGGCATCAAAGAAAACCCAGTGCTGCATTGCACCAGGCAGGGTCCTGCCAAGGTTCCTGCAGAGCAGAGCTGCTTGGCCAAGTGTCCCTCCACATGTGCCCACAGTCCTCACCTTCAACCTTCATTATCTGATAGGTGTCCTGCACCACCTTGTACTTGGGTTCGTTGCGGAAGGCATGAGCCCAGGCCTGGATGAGGTACAGGATCTTACTGCGGACACTTGTCTCCACTTGCCTCTGCACAGGAAAGGAGAAAAAAACCATCTGAGCAAAAGCCCCTGAAACCCAGGGGATGGTGTGAACCTCCTCAAAGAGAAGCCAGAAATACCAGTCAGGAAAGAGTACTTGGGTGAGGCAAGAGCTGCCAGAAACCTGTGGTATGGACGATGTACAACACAGATTAAAACATCCTTGAGAGCAGCAAAGACCAAATGAACAGAGCTGCAGCCTCCATGCCCTGAGCAAACGCCCAGGGACAGGCCCAGTAGCTTCAGGGCCTGTGCAGGAGCACCTGCCCACCCAGCAGCTCTGTCCACCCCTCACCAGGGCTGCTCATCCTGCACTCAGAGCAGAGCAGGACCCTCAGCTGCCCAGAATAGCACAGCCCCCCTCACCCACACGCTGACAGGGCACCACCAGCTCCAGCCTGTGGTGTCCGGAGGGAGTCAGCACCTCCAGCCCAAGGATACTCAAAGCCATTTGGGATGTGACAGTGAGGACAGCTGAGAGGTCTGCCCTTTGCAGGCAGGGGCAACTGGATCACAGTTCAAGGAGCTGGAGAAAACTTGGCAAGCCTGTTCTGCCCCCAGCTGGCCTCGGAGCTGCCCTGTCATCAGCTGCACGAGTCATTACATCCACATGACCATCTGCTCCTCAAATCCCCTGGGAAGCACAGCAGCACTGTCAGGCTCCGATTTCAGCCGAGAGTTTGGCCCACACAGCGTGAATTACTGACAATTCCTGGAGCTCCAACTTCTAGAAGATTTGGCAAAATCCTGCATTCCACACATCACAGCCCTGAACCTCCTCAAGAGCTTGGCCTGTTCTACCAGCACTGGGCGTTCACAAGCAGCAAAGCTCCAAGTGTGGGAAGAGAATGAGACTGTGGCAGTTGTGAAACTCTGGAGCCAGGCAAGGACTGAGAACCACAGAATCCCTGGATCTGATCTGATCTCCTCAGCCCCTGGAGTGGCTGTGCTACCACACCTGGCTGTCAGGCTGCAGCAGCGTTCCTGCCTCATGAGAAGATCCCGCACAGAGTGAGTCAGCCCTAACAGGAAGGTGACAGCAGAGACACCCTGCTCAGCATGCGAGGTGACGGACTCGCACGGCTCATCCCCAGGGATCTGGGTCATCTGGTTGTTTATTTCTGGCAGAGGATGGAAATGGGAAGGAAGGAATAGCATGATGCTGACAAGCTCTTGTCTTGGCACTGCTGTTCTGGGCTGGGAGCTGGAGATAGGAGTTCCCATTTCCACTTCACTTGTGGAATTCCCCAACCCAAGGACACATGATGCTCCTGCAGGCATCAGACTGGCCATAACTTGTGACAACATCTTGTCAGTGCCAGCAGCCAGGGTCACATCCTGCAGAGCTCCTGAACAATTCCACAGGCTGGTGAAATGGCCATGACACAGAGGAAGTTCCTGTTGGTTTTTCCCTTGCTGCTTCACCTGCCTATGTGTCTCACACTGTTCCAGGGGAGGGAATTCACCTCACCACTGCCCTGGTGCAGATGCCAGGCCTCCACAGCACATTCCTGCCAGGGCACAGCACAGCCAAACCTCTGCTCCCACCACATCTCCTCTCCCCAGAGACCCTCCTACACTTCCCCTTTCACACCACACCACAGTTTGCTCTTTTCTGAAGTGCATTTCCAGATTCCCTTCTGTTCCTTACCCAAATGGAGCACAAGAGAGGACACACACATTTCGTTCTGCTGCTGCTTTTCCACAGAAACAAAAAAAAGACAGTAAAATAAATTTATTTACCTTGAGTATTTCCTTCAGCTCCTCCATGGTCTGTTTATTGGCCACCTCATCATGGACTGTTTGGCCACAGTTTTTAACCACCGACTCCATGACCTGCAAGGGCCAAGGACAACATCAGTCCACGCCCTCCTGCCCCTCCGTGACCCATGGTGGTCTCAGCACACACTACAGGCTGAACACGGGGCACTGTTCAAACAATGAGGTGTGTTTGGGCCATGTCAATCCACCCCTGTGCTGGCAGACAGCTGCCCTTCAGCTCCTCAGGGGCTGTGACCTCTGCCTTGTGCAGACTGACCCCAGGGACAGCAGCCCAGTCCCAGCTTTGCCTGATGCAAAGCTGAGATGGAACTAAGGAACAAAGGCCCTGTCTGATTGTCCCAAAGCTTCTGTCCAGAGGCAGCAGGAGGCTGTGCAGCCTAGAGGTGGCTGGTACAGGGGGATGTTCTCAGCCCCCATGGTGCTCCCAGGCGGATGCTGTTACCTCCAGCGCGTACAGGGCCACGTGGGGATTCTTGTCATTCACCTTCTTCTTGATGGCATTGACGGCGTATTTCGCTCTGGGTATGGGAAGAGAGGACATGTCCTCAGGGGATGGAGGACCCGAGGGGAGTTCCACCTACTGCTGACAACCCACTAACCCCCACCCTGACACGGTTAGCTCGGGCCACACGATTCCCAGGGGGGAAGGGAAGGAATAAGCACATTCAAGCTTGAGATTCCCCGAAGATTTCAGGCCAGGGGTAATCTGCAGCTCCCGAGGTTCAGGAAGCACATCAGCACATCGGGGTGTGCTGTATGGCACTGCTGACGTTCTTACAGGAGGGGATAATGAGACCTGTGCTACCAGGGGCTGGCAGGGTCTGCACAGCCAGGACCGCTGTGCTCCCAGCACATCCCAACACCCAGGAGCACTTACTGGGTGTCTCCCTGACGGATCATGTCGCAGATCTGCAGGATGGATTCCCAGTCCGTCTCCAGCAGGAGTTGGCTCGTGGCCTTATCTGCAAGGAACAAC